GTGTTGAAGCCAATGTGTTATTAAAGCAATATAGTGAAGAGAGCTTAGATAAAAAGCAGCGTTCAACTGCTGTTCTTTTGTGCATGCCTGATATTTGATATACATATTCAAATGCTTCACAACCTGTCCTTCTCTGCTATCATCAAACTGTCAAAATCACAAACGCAAGGCTAAATCAAGGGACACATGCCTGCACACAATGTACGCTCAGACAAATGAGCTACAGCTGTATCAGCAAGTCTATACGAACCTCAAGGTTACTATGGTACAGCCTCGCTCTCACAAACATTAACCATCACGACCAACTTCAGCCTACACTTCAACCTAAACCTTTTGCTAACTTGAACCCAGGTTTAAACCCTCCGAAAGCCTTTTGAATGTGTGTCAAAAAGGTGAGTACAAAATGTCCTCCCCTTCCACAAATGTCCTCACTTCCAAGGTCTGGAGCTTAAATTGGGCTTCACAAACACAGATGCACAAGCGCACATACACACAATGTCAGTCAACAATTTACTGGCTGTCAACAGTGTCAGCAATAACACAGCCTCTGAAAGAGAGACAGAAAATAAGTGCTGTGATTAGTTATGGGAACAAAGCCTGATCTGATGTAAGGAGGGCCGAGAGAAAAACAAGAAAAGCAGAGCGATGGAAGCCACGGCAGACCCTTCTGTTTGGGTAATAGTTAAGATGTAGAAATACCAACAATCATACAGCTTTAAAAGTGAAAGAAAAGCAGAAACATAAAGTGAATGAGTTTTGATTGCAAGTAAAAATTAGCATTAGCTAGTTAGAACTTTTGCTCTAATAAGAATCTACACCAACATCTCCCATTAACATTCAGCAGAAATGTACTTTAGTTCCTAAAATACTGAGAAAACTATTCATTAATACAGCTATTTAAGCATCACAACATTTAAAATGCAAATAGCACATGATGTGCTGGGACGACAGCTCACATGCCCCCAATTCTCTAGTGTCCTCAGATACTCTGTGGCTTAATTAGTATGAATTAAACTATGCCAAACTTTTGTTGAAATGCATCTGCCCACAAGAATTTAAATAGGTTACAACTCAAACATCACAACAAATGTTTTGTCGATCATTTCAAGTAGTTCTGCTGAATCAAACAAAGTCCTGAAAACGTGCTCCTACACTTGACCTTCATTGACTGTACTCAAGTTGATATTAAGGCAATACGTGGTCCAGACAATAAACAATTGACCTGAGCTTACTCGCCTAAGCCATGGCCCCAGTGCAGGGACAAGCAGTGCATGCTAGTGCTATTTACATAGCCTTAACTGAGAGCTTTGGAAGTGCTGCAGGGCCTAAGTCCTGTTACATAATGAGTAAGGCTGTCTAATGTTGGTTTGGAGCAGGAAAAAGGGAACATTGTAGGTTGGACGTCCTGCATATTCTCTGTCAGTCTCCATGTGATGCCCATCTCTTTCTCTCCACATCTCTCCAATTAGCCGACATGGAGTAGAGGGAGGGACGAAGGCCCCCACCGATCCTCGGCACATTGAACATTCCCCTGGACCCCTGCCAAGACTCACAGGCAGCAACTCGCCAGTTTCTGCTTCGCTTCCCCCATCCCCCTGCTTCCACCCCAGCCTGGCTTACCCCTGGTGGGCCCCCTAAACCCCTGCCCCCTCCATTGGCACACAAGTTAGACGAGGAGGAGGGGGGTTACACAGACACCACCACCACCACCACCCCCTGCTTGACGTTGTATACGAGGCTACTGGTCGTAAGCAAATACCTGAGCGCTGCCCTTCACGCAGAGCTGAAGCTATACGTTAACTCCTCTCTGATAAGTTACGCATTTAACTGTGTAAAAAGAGCTTACACTCTCACACATCTTGGCAAACAGGAAATGCCAGTTTTAGGGCCGAGAGTACTTGAAGATGTGATTAGACCTATCTTAACATGAGATCACTATCTTCTGCCAAAAACAGATCAGTGTCAGACCTGAGATGAACCCTGGGCTGCATCACACAGCTGAGGTTAGACAAACTGCACAGAGTCAGTCTCATCAATGACAGTTTCTTTTCCTGAGACATGACTTCACAAGAGAGGAAGTCATAGTTTTGCCCAATCTAGTCCACTACAACCCCTGAAAAACAACAACAACAAAAAAATGTCATGCCAAAGTAAGTCTGAGCACTTCCTTTTTTAGGTGATCCAAAGGATACCACAACTATTTCTGGCTTGCTAGTGCCCGATCGTTACTACAGTCAAGACACACACTGGTTTGCACACACACAAACGCTTCTCATTTAGTACAATGGCCACACCAAACGCGATTGTCTGGCAAATCTTTACCCTGCTCCCCTTGACTTCTAAATAGCAATACATAGAGCAGAGATAGAGGGTAATGGCTTTTGGCAGCCTTCCACCGAATCCAGCTGATTCTACTGTCAACGCTCCCCTACTGGAGCAGCACCCTGCGGCGGTGTTAAGCGCGTTATCTATCAGGACTGAGCCAGTTGTTTGAAAAGCCTCATAATCACAGGCTCAGTGACTACCACGGTCAGGCCTGCGCTTAGGTCAATGACGGGGAAAGGGGATAGACAACACAAGCCACACACAAGCGCGACACAAAGGGATTTACCTGGGTCAACACAAACTATCTGTCGCTGAATGGAAAGAAGTTGATGTAAAATTGCAATCTCTGGAGCAAACTGACAGCCTATTGTACGGAAGCAAACAATCAAAGCAGGAGTGTGTGCGCGGGATACAATGACACGGGGCAAGCAGGCCCATTCAAGTTATGTTTGGCCGGTAGTGAAAACGAGGCTAATGATAGCAACCTGAGGACTAGGCTGGTGTTCGTGTTTTGTCTGAAAAGGGTCAGACGAGGGGAAGCAAGCCTAGGGTTTCCTTTTAAATAAATGATCCTGCCCCTTCCGTGATAAGGGGCTGCAGATGGAGCGACTGCCAAGGTTTGTCCTCGTGGCTTTGTTACAATACGCTCTAATCAAAACAACGTCTAGATGCCAACAGCCTACAGCCTGGTTAGATCCAGAGCCAACATGGGTTATGGGTTTCCTGCTAGTGTGCTGCCAAAACAGCAAGTAGTAATATAATTTACTGAGTCTGTGCCCCAGTGAGAGATTGGATTTCTTATTTTGGGTCCTTTTCCATTAAGTTGAAAAAAAAAAAAAAACCCTGATTAAGCACCTCAAGATTGAGCTAATTTAGAGTTTAGAAATGTTCCAAGTGCTATTTTTGTGCAGCAATTTTTGCAGATGTTGACATATACTGACAGAATATCCATATTCTCCACAGACCATCAGTCTGACACATGACAACCAAGTGGATTATTTAACCTCAGAAAGTAATAAAGCCAAACTTTGAACAATACATTTGTAAGAAATGAGAAGCATGGCTGACATCTTCATTGTAGAATACCTTGCCTTGAAGGTACCCCATTGCTGTTGCCCTAAGGTCCATACACAACCCTGATTTGCCTAAGTGTCCTCCAGATGTGCCACCCATGGGGGCTTTAGTAAGAGCGATGGTTCTAAATCAGCTGTCAAGGATAATGCTAAAACTAGCAGACTCCCTCCAGCTCCTATCAGGTTTTTATATCTTTCTTTACTCCATATTCACTAGTTTGTTTGTTGTTGTTGTTGTTTTTACAAATTGGGCTCCAACATCTTTCCACAGCTATCCACTTTTTGCATGCTCATCAGCCTTTTGGAAAGATGGGAACGCATATGGAAGAGAAGACCCTTGACCCTGGGTAAGAAACAGCTCCGTGTTTGCGTCTGTGAGTCAGCTGGGTGTCTAGGGCATGCGGGACTCGGCTCAAGGCCTGATTAACAACTGCAGGGCATTAACCAAGCGCAGGAATTCAGAGAGCCATGGTCACACGGACCCCTTGCAAAAAAAAAAAAAACGACAACACGTGTGCAGTCACCAGCTGATTGTGACACAAACGCACAACGTTTACATTCCAAGACGGAGCACCAGACACACACTCAAACAGGCACGAAGACAAATCTGTATGCGCCGTACACACAAATAAACACTCCGACTGCAAAATGCATGTGTGCCTTTGCTGCTCGCGCACATTTTTCATTTCATCACCTCACTGGTGTGTGACGATAGAGATAAGACAGTGGTGACAGAGATGTCAGAGGAGGGGGGGGTGGAAGGGAAGGAAAAAGGGGTTTGAAATTGAACAGGAAATTATGTACTTCAATTAAGACACGCAGAGGAGATATTAAAAGCTATACTCCAGTGCCTGGAGACAGGATGCAGGAAAGGGGGGATGCAATGGAAGGCGACAGTTCAATCAGAATCCCCGGCTTTCGCAGCGAGCCCGGGGGTGGAGGAGAGGAGGGAAGAGAGACAGGACAGCTATGTTTAATAATGTGCTTGGAATTAGTGTAGTGGAATGCACAATAGTGTACAAGATACACGGCGTGATACAGAGCCGCAGACGAAAGAGCAGGGAAGAACTGGGATCAGACCTGCCTTTTGTCACCATTTAGGGAACACTGCAACTACAATGGGAGGGCACAGATCCAAACATTAAAAAAAAACTCTACTCTCCCAGCAATCAACCAATAAACCATAAAACCAGCGCACCATTACCTTCTAATAACTACAGAGAAAGACTGGGGGAAAAAAAAAGGCAAGGCAGCTCAAGAAATCATCACATTACACACTCACATGTACTGAGTGTGTTCCAGTCCACTCAGCCAATCATGAAGGAGCTGTGATATAACACAAAAGTTCCCAACATGTTCAAGCCCCTTCAAATAACAATACTACATTTAGTCATCAATAAAAATAATCCAAAAACAGCACATGGAAGATTACATTTGGTCACACAGTCGGCTATTTTTGGTGGTTTTCTAACGTGCACAACATGAAGAAAACACTGAGAATATTCCAGAGACATGCGTAAAAGCGACACAGCTCATTATTTGGCATATTTAGAGCCACTAACAGTGTTTTTTACATGGAGCAAAAAGCTAACAGTAACTTACCTTGCGGTTAATCACAGCTTTGGCAGCTTTCAGTTAAGAGTCGATGCATGGCAGAAAAAAATACGCAGAAAAGCATTCTCCGATGTCTTTTCTAAAGTTACCCGTAAAGAGATGGAGCAGACATTTAGTCGCAGTTAAAGTCAAGACTTGGTAGATAAGCCGACCGCTGCCCGCTGAAGCAGCTTGGTGACAAGATACCGAGGTAAACAACGGCTACTCAGCCAGATATACACACAGCAAGTACGGTAATTTATGCTTGAAGCAAAAAAAAAAGATTTTCTCTCTAAAAAAAACAAAAAAATGTGAAATTATACTCACAAAAAATCAGTTTGTTAAAACGTCACGATAGACCGAGGGGGGCGGGGAAGGGGGCGAAGCACCACTAATAACAAAAACAACACACACACGAAAAAAAAAATAATAATAACACGATTACAACGACTTTTAAAAGCAGCTAAATGATGTAAGCTAGCTGGTTGGCGTTTGAGATCGTTGCGAAGGTTTTGCAAACCGGAGAATTCAGGCAGTTTTCGTTGAAGAAGAAGAAGAAGAAGAAGAAAAAAAAATCGCCGATGAGTTCTCGCTGAGCAAGCCGACGGCCGTGAGCCAGCAGCCAGCCAGCCAACTTGTTTTAAAGTGCAAAAGAAATGTTTTTTAGGTTTTTTTTTTTTTTTAGTTTAAGTCGCCGGTTGGACGACTAGCGACGGGCTGGCTACCGCGAATGCAGAGTGAGTAACGACTCCGGGGAAATACATTCTGTGTGGATCCAGACAGCGGAGCGGACACTCATGGTAGGCGTTCAGTGAGCTCTCGTTGACAGTGGTCTCGCAGCCATTTTGTTCAAACTAACAACACCGCAGTCTCCCTCTCCTCCTCCCAGCCAGCAGACACACCAGGAAGCGGCTCCGGATACGTCACTCCCGACCAACCGAAACCCCGGACGCTAAACTCCGCCCACCCGCCCTCCGACCCCGCCCTCCTCCTCCGCCTCCTCCAAACCTCCAAGCGGCCACCGAGGATTGACAGGCAAGAAGAAGAAGAGGAAAGAAAAAAAACACACACACACAGGATGGAGGCAGGCAGCTCATATTTCCAGGGTAATTGCAGAAGCGTGGACCCAACATTGTGCTTAAAAGAAATAAATGTGACGCCGTAAATGCTGTAGAGGCAATATTTCCTGAGAGTAAAGCCATTCTGAATGAAATGCTTATTAAAACATGGTCGCTATTTATGTTGTGTATTAGGTTACATTTGTTTTGCTTCCAGCAGTGGTTAAAGCTGCTCTAGTCAGAATTTTTTTTGCTTTAAAAATGGAACAAATGACTTGACCTGACTCAAGTCCAGTTACATTGCATATTTATTTGCTTGCATTTGTCTTCATTATGTGTTTAATTTCACGTTTTATTGTGAAGGACGGTAACTTTTTGTCAAAGGTGCTACACAATTTAAGTAATTATTATGATTATTGTTACTAATGGTTACTCGGCAGAGCTTATTGGCAGCTTTTACTCGTCGTTCTGGTTTTACAGTTTGCAGCTTTAATGTGTTGGTTCTTTCTCATCGCTTTCATCAGCAATATTTTTAAATGTATGTATCTGTATTTGGTGAAAAATCCACCGTATACTACTCGTCCAGCACCACACAGGCAATGTCAGAGACTAGATGGAGCATTTAGCACTTAAGGAACATATATGTTGCAAAGTAAAGCCACTTCACCCATTATCCACTTCATCTGATAAAGGTCTGATATTGGGGTGACGGGCAGGATACACCTTGGACAGGTCCCAGCACAGGGAAACAGACAACCATGCACATTTATTCTTACCCTTATGGCTAATTTAGAAGCTAACATGTATGTCTGGACTGTGGGAGGAAGCCAGACAGGCACAGAAAGTACCTTTCCATGAACCTCAAAGTTGTAACTTTTCACCACTCTCTCCGAGCAATACTGTTGTGTAATATTTCCTGCAACAGAGATATGCCAAGTTTGTGTGGCTCATAACAAAATCATGCAAAACAGCACATGGATAGATAAGAGTTCTTGAAGTCTTCAAACAATTGGAGCTTGCATCAAGAACTTTAAAAGACTGAAATGGCCTTTAAAGGGGCCAACCCCAGGTTTCTCTACCCAAGACGACCTTTGTCAAGAATCTCTTCATCACAGAATGTCCAGAAACAGGGGGTGATAATTCTGGGCTATTCACAACATGATGGATGAGGTCGCCCTTGTGCGCCCTGAGCCACGTCTGCAGCCGTCTCAGAGAAAGAAAACGCAGCCCCTGTCCATTCTCTGCACTCCTTTCTCATGGAAATGACCGCTCCACGCACAGACAAACACACACAAGAAACACACACACACTGTGCGGTGGGAACAGGTCAGGACTGCATTCCACAAAGGGGAAGGCTGACCAGTGAGAACGCTCCTATACATCACTGGGAGAGACTGCTAATGAGAAAGCCAGGGGCCCTGGCCAAAAGTTTTTTTTCTCTCCTTTTCAAGGCAATATGCCCAGAGCTATTAAAACAGCAAGCTCCAAATGAATGGAGAAAGCAGATGTTCCATGCTCGGGGTTAAGAGAGGTGAGAGCAGAGGGGAGTGCCTTCAGAAACGCCTTAAGGGATATGTAGTTCACTGTGGCTCAGACTATTAAAGTGAAAAAGCAGGAACGTACTGTTCATGTATGCCATGTAAATAAATTGTGCTCCTAGTAAACATTTTGTCACCGAGTTAATTGAATGTGTCTGCTCGGAGCATCAATTCAGTGATTTATTATGTCACGCAAACTAAAGTACCTACATTACTTATAGCCCAAGTCGCACGAGTTATCAAAGAGAGACGTGGAAATGTATGCACCACAAAGGACGGCCGAGACTTCAAATAGCGATAGTGGCTTGACATGTACTTAGCCATCAATGGCAAGAACTACTCAGGTGTGTGTGTGTGTGTTAATGTAGGTAAGAAAAGACAGTAAGTGTGTGTGTGTCTAAGTGCACATCTGCACGTGTACCGATGCGTATGTGAGCGTGCACACGTCCTTCTCCGTGCACATCCACTCTCCAACTCATCACCGCTATTCTTTTAGGTGTCTTTGAGATGTTTCTTTGACTCCGCCAATTTCCCTAATTGCTTTCACATTTAAGCAGACTGCTGACAGAAGCGAGTCAATGGGAAAGGTCCGCCTGACATTCTGATAAGAAACAACCCAGACACAAGCTGTAGGACTGCAGTGGAGGCAATCGCTCACTCCTTTCCCCTCTCAGACAATACGCTCCTCTTCCTCCTGCTCTTCTCTTTCTCCCCTCTCTCTCTCTCGCTCCATTTTTTTCAGTGTGCTCCTCTGCCTTTTGTTTTAATTCCAGTCCAATCATGAGCTCTGTTCCGCATAAGGTTTTAATTTCAAGCCTGCTGCCAGAGTCTGCCACAGTCACACGAAGACACGCTCAGATTCACACAAGCATGCACGTGCGTACACCAGACCACAGATTCTTATGCACACTGTGCACACGCTCGCTTTACTCCCACATCACAAACACACAGTCACACCTAAATGTTACATGGCCACATGCATATTTAATGTATGTGCTCTGTGACTACATTTTATCATTTAAACATGATCCCCACGAGACAGAGTATCTCCTGCTTGAAACATTAATAACCACACACATTAATAGAATGCCGACACATCAGATAAATTACACAAACACGAATCCAACAAGCTGTAGTTTTTCTTCATTAGTCAAAATTTGTTCACAGTTTATGACAGGCCAGGTAGTACTTACAATCTTTTATTTATTTTTTTGCCTTACTTTGAAATACACAGCACCCCTCTAAATGTATTACCTGAACATTTAACCTTGTGGAATTAACCAAGCAAGCGTGATCTGAGGGGGAGCCAAACATTTCACGACAGCACCGAGTCCAAAAGCTGGTGCTGGTGTTGAATTCGTATTCCCCAGACACTGAATTCTAGAAGAAGACATTTATGGTTTGCTGTGTGATACAGAATAAGTGATGAGTTGGGGGGTGTCAGTTTTTTGGTATTGATTATGAATACACAATCCTCCTCCACAGTCTGGACTTTATGCATGTGAGTAATCAAAATGCAGACAGCGAGCTGCTGCTGCTTCGCTCAAAGTGACATTTCCAAAGGCATGACTTGACATATGCAAAAGGACCGTCATGATGATAATTCTGACAGAGGAAGGAACCATCTCCTAACCGCACATAAAAGAAGAATGTTGCACAGCGACTCTCCCGGTTCTGCTACTTCAAGGCTAAAATTTGCAAGTAGTAGCCGTGCGGTTGGGCTGAAACATTCATTGTGAGTTTTTCTCACTCTGATTAGCGAAGTGATTGAAGTGCCTATCCATTAAATAACAGTGCAGAGTGGTAAAACCCTGCTGAGTTGCTCATTGCTCATCTCCAAGGTCTGCAGCATTGCAATGAGAGATAAGACAGACTGCAAGTAGCTGAAGGCACGGTAGTCCAGAAGAGGAGGAGGAGGGATCCTTTTCATTAACTTTCATTAAGACTAAAGAGCGAATTACCCTGAACAGTAGAAGTCTGACACATAAAAGTCATTAGGTGGGGAAATATCCGCTGACCAGCCACAGCATTAAAACCATCACAGGTCAAGTGAATACGACTTATTATCTCCTCACAATCGCACCTGGCAAGAGACGGGATATATTACACAGCAATATAATAAACAATTAGTGCTTTAGGTTAATGTGTTGAAAGCAGGAAAGCTGTGTGGGACCTGAGCAGCTGCGACAAGGATCAGACTGTGATGACTGGTCACCTGGGCAGAGCATCTCCAAAAACAGAAGGTCTTGTGGTTGTAGCAACCAATGAACCAGCAACATGGTCATGGGTGCCCAAGGCCCACTGATCTGTGTGGGAAGCAAAAGCTGCAGCACAAACTGCTGAAAACGTAATGATGGCTATGAAAGAAGGTTGTCAGAATACACAGTGCGTCAGGGCTGAAAAGCTGCAGAATGGTTGCAGAGTTAAACACTAGAAGCACCTACGATGGGCACATGAGCGTTTGAACTGGACCGTGGAGCAATGCAACACAGTGGCCTGGTCTGATGGACCACGTTTTCTGTTACATCAACAGCCAGGTGCTTGTGCGTTGTTTACCTGTGGAAAAGACAGCAGCAGGATGTACTATGGGAAGAAGATAAGCCAGCAAGGCAATGTGATACTCTGGGCACTGTTCTGATGGGAAACCTTGGGTCCTGGCATTCATGTGGATGTTTGTTTCTCATGTGCAACCTACGTAAACATTGTTGCAGACCACAGCCACCCCTCCAGGGCACTGCTATTCTCTCATGACAGTGACCTAGGCCTTCAAATTCCCCAGATCTCAACCCGATTGAGCATCTGTGGGATGTGATAGAAAAACAAGTCCAACCTAAGAAGGTCCCACCTCGCAACTTACAGGACTTTAAAGGATCTGCTGCTTGGAGCTTGACACCACTGGACACTTTCAGAGGTCTTCTGGAGTCCATGCCTCAAGAGGTCAGATTTGTTTTGACATTATGAGGTGGCTCCTCACAATATTAGGAAGGTGGTTTTAATGTTGTGGCAGCTCATACATACACACTTTGCTGCACTAAAATATACAGTACATGCATTGCCACATAAAAACATGTGAGCAGTTACTGTTATGCTGTTTATAAAAACACACAAATACATTATTAGACAATTCTCTGCGCACAAACACAGAGCAGACATCGGCAACAAATGCCTCTAATCCCCCCATGTGCTGCTGCTGTGTGTCTGTGTAGCACATAATGTATTATGGGTGAAGCACAATAGCAAGAAGAAACGGTGTGCTGCGGCTGGTAAAGGGGCAATAATGCTAGGGGTGGGAAAGGGGTTATGCAGCCACTGCGTGTACGTGGGAGTGTTTTCGTGCGCACGGCTGTGCATGCACGCTCGTGTGTGAGCGCGTGTCTATAGTAAACGTGTGTGTATTTGTGTGTGTCCATATGTGCTCTGTATGGGTGGAGGGAGGCAGAGCAAAGCGGAGCGTTGCAGTGCAGTAGGACAGCGTTTCTGAGCTGTGGTAATTTCCCCTGAGACAAGCAAGCAGGTAAAGGCCAGCGAAAGAGGGAGGGAGGGAAGGAGAGAGGAATAGATGAAGGCTGGGATAGAGGGAGGGAGGGAGAGCGTCAGCAAGCGAGTATGTCAGAGAATAATGAGGAATGATACAGCGGTGGTGG